TTCATCCATCCATCCATCCATTTTCCATCTTGTTTTGCGTTTATCATTATCCTGTAACTCCGAAACTGAACTTTAACTGCCATGCATAAAAATATAGGGAGATGATTAAAACATCAAAATAAACGCTAGAATTAACCATGATATTCTTGGTTTCCAAACAAAAGGTTAGTTTTCGATACGAGCGGCAAGACAAGCAACCATGTGTCACCTTTACAGATTTATCATAATGCGTAATTCCATCATCCCTTGTTTACAAAGTTTTATGGGATCCTTCAAGCAGACCAACGTATATGGCATCATAATACCTGTAGTGAATGACCGCAAACCTCATCACTATGCTAAATCGAACAGCATTCCACTCGAATACAATCTGTTGGAAGTCAACGTATGCTGAAATGGTCTATTAAACCTCAAGAAGCAAGGCGATAATGAGACCACAGCCAGTAAATTCGATGCAAGAACACTTATAAATGAAGTTTAAATTTAATTACCGCATTTCAAAATAGAGCGTACTGGCAGTAAACCATTGTCGCCATACAGACCTAAAACGAGTACACCATGTAACTAAAAAACCATAGAATTTATTGTTCTGTAAGTAGACAGCATGGAAAGATTTCATCATACTTTCATCAGAACTTAATATAAACGGCGATATGAGAAATTTATCAAGACGAAGGTCATATCAAAGGCGTTCAATATACATAATACTCGCAAGATAAGACCATTTAAAAGAAACCAATCAAACTTTATTTGCTTAATAGAAACCCAAACAAGGAAGACGAAAGATCAGTGGCCAACCTGCCAAGTAAAAGAAGACACTAAACAGAGACGTGCTGTCGATGTAGATGAGGACCGTCGCTAACGAATCCTAGAGGCCGCAAACAGCCTTCTGTTCAATTTCGTTTTTAGTGATAACGGCAAAAAAACGATGGCTCCGGACTTCCACATCACCGTACTTCGATTATGATTTGCAGTCGGAATAAATCCCAACACCGCCATGGCCGGCCCCAAGCCCGGATGAGAAAGGAGGAGGGTTCGAGACAGTGGCAAGTCTCCATAAAATTCAGTCACCTGCCACTCATGGTATTGACGCCTTCGAAAATTATACAGGCTCCGTCGTCGCCCGGGTTACCAAGGGCGGCGAACGCTGATGGGGGATTCAGGCAGACTACGAAAAGTCGGCGATCAGAACCTGCTCATTGCCCCCCGACAGCCGGGTACGTAGCAGCACAACAACGGCTGACGAAGATCGACTGAACGACGGCGAAGACACCAGTCAGCAATGGAGTCGCTACCCGTACTGAACGGAGGAGGCAAACAGTGCGATGCCATTACAGCACGTCAGAATAGGCTCCACGAAAACAACACCACCAGTGGGACCTTAAAGTCGGAAATTGGAACATATCCTCACTCAGAGGAAAAGAATATGAATTA